AAAAGAGGAAACAGAGGACATGTAGGTTGACACATAGAATCAAGAAACTATGAAGTTAGAAGTGTTGGAACAAGACAACAATTAGGATCAAGACATGGATACCAAAAACATATCAGCACTAGCAAAGGAAATAGATATCAAAACCAAACCAATCTCTTCAATGATAGTAATATCAATAATAGCAATAGCAAGAAAAGGAAAAGAGACTCTAAACAATATGCAGAATATCACTAAAAACAAATTCAGTTATGAAAAAAGTGAAGGAACAAGAACTATATAAGCAAATAATATGAATTTACAAAAGAATCACAATACACTTAAACTAGGCAAAGTACTGTATATATGGATTCAGATGAAGTACTGAGATATACAATAGAAGAAAAAATTATGTACATATAAAACAAACTGAGTATCTATTAATTCTGAAGCATATATACATAGAATAATCAATAGGCACACCAATGATCACAGTCATTTTTGACAATTTTCACAAGGCATTAATGGTATGTGAGATTAAGATTACTGACAATAATTTTCTCAAATTTAGACTAGCTTCACATATTGGTACTAGTGAAAGCAAAGTCTGATCTATCAGAATCTGGGACATTCCAATTATTTCAAAAAAACCAATATTGTTAACCTATTTCAAAACAGGACAGTAATTGAAAACATTACTTTTTTTTTTTTTTGCTCTCTGTTAGGCTAGTTACGAATGCTTTATTAAACATTTGTAAGCTATACATATAATATGAGACACTAAAGCTAATTCTTTAACTAACTCACTCATCTTGATTGGTTTACCTTTCTAAGTGCAACTTTGGAAGTAATTTATTGCTCTATTAGGAGTTCAGGTAAATACCCTTCCAACTTCTAACATCATTGCCTGCAGATTGCTACTGCAGTAATTGAAAACATTACTCTTCAACCAGCAAGATCTATACAATTAGATATAGTACAATTTAATATAATGATTGCATATAAAGAGCAAGCCCCAAAATGGATACTCTTTAAGGACACCTTTTGCATATGAACATATCCAATAGTCAGGATCCATATGACAAGAGAAAAAAGAAACCAATATAGTGCAATGCTAGCAAACCTCTTATAGGGAATGACAGCAAAGGAATTGCAAGAAATTATTAAATACATCAGTGCACAAGCTTACTACTTTTCTCTGAACCACCTGGCCCAGAATAAAAGATTTATGATTCTTTACTTCAAGAACAACCAGAATTTGAATAAAGCAAAGAATACCAGTTTCAACCTCAACAGTATAGAACTTGTCTGGGTAAAGAGAAAAAGAATAATGGTAGCACTCAGGCAGCTCCAAGCAGACATTAAGGCCATCAAACACCAGGTTTACATGCTGAACAAGAAAGTAATAGTGATAGAGGCAGGTTCCCACATCAAAGTCAAAGGACCAGTGATCACAGACTCTCCTCTAGAACATGAGACAACTTCAGAGAACTCACTTTGATATACAGTATATAATGTATATTTATATAATTTTTTTTAAAAAAGAAGAAATTTCGTACTTTACCGTAAGCTTTATAATTTAAACTAACTTGTTTTTTGTAACCATTTTATTTTACTGTTTATTTCGCACAGATGTGCATTGTTTTTTAGCAGAAGAAATTTAACGAATTACACGTCTTTGTCGTATCAATGTTTGTTATACACATAAATTAAAAGAAAAACTTTTTTCAATACGATAATTCGAAAAATATTATTAAATAATTCTTTAACGAATTGTCAAGAACTTACATTTCATATTAACTCAATATCATACAGTATATTTAAACAGTAAATGCCAACAATTGTGACCGTGCTTCATTTCATGTCATCAGAGGTTTTGGGATTAAGGACTAAGGACTTGAAAATACAAATAAACTATGGCAGCGGTCCTAGAAGGAAATTATCTGAATATCGTGGGAGAATCCCTAATCTCGGAAGGCTTATATAAATGTATTCAATATTCGAAGAGATTCATTGACACAACAGATTTGCGTCTATGCAAACCAGTAAATAACGAAGGTGAAAACCGAAAGGTGTGTCTAGTGTTTATCGAATGAACCACATGAAATTTTACACTGAGAGAAATATATAGAAGCAGCAGACATTAATGCGTTCGGAACTAGCATATTTGGCAAAACATTCGTTCGTCTGTCAAATGTACATTCTTTTAGAATGATGATTCTTTAATTGCTTTCACACATCTAATTACATTGATATTCTAAAAACGTGCCCCACCCTTTATTGATATTTATATTAAATACGTACAGTATATAACAACTTTATTTCGACAAAGAAATTATTATTCGTCCAAAAGAAAAAATTTCCGAAAAATCGTTTAATATGTATGCTTCCACCTCTATTCCAAAATTTTCTAATTTCTAAATTAAAACTGCTGACAAGGTTATCAGGATTTAACCCCATCCAATATCGAAAGGCGAATTTCCGCAAATCCACCATAACAATCCACCGCCTATTATCTCAACTAAAAATTGAAATAATACGCACCACACGATTTGATATAAATATTTCGGCGAAAACACTGTCCAGATGAACAAATGGTCTTTCAATATTGTGACTCCTATTGATAAAACAAATGTGACTAATGAGTAGAATGCCGTCGTATAATACGTTGAATTAGCAAATCTTGTTAGACTTTCTATCTGTCCTTTTCCAATCGATTCGTCATAATTCACACTCTTGGCAATTTGTTGGGCAAGAAATTGACTCAGTGAGTTGGCATTATTCCGCTCAATAAATAGGGGCTTTGTGAAATCATCGTTATCTTCGTCGCTCTCATTTTCCCCGTCTTGTGAAAGGAACGGATCGTCGTCGTCGTCATCAAAGAAATCCGAATCATCTCTTGTGCAAATATCAGGATCAGAATCATCTAAATTCTCCAAAGCCTTAACGTTTTCGGAATAAACCATCATCTCGCATCTCACCAAGTTTCCAGCAAGAACCCACCAAATACTTCCAGCCCAATTAGCAAAAAATGTCAACGTTCCGACCGCGACCACACTATACTTATCAACACCTATATATGCATTGCTTATATCAATTGATGCTATTGAATTAGAATTTCCCAAGGAAAAGAATGAAGTAAATTTTAAACATATTAAAACGTAATTCACGATTAGTGATGACATATGTATTCCATATTTCAGATTGAGCTGAATCAACTTTGATAAAAACAAATATTGAAAATAGTATAATATATATAAAGGTGCGTTGTGTGGTCGTGACAATAGTATGAATAAATAAGTTGAGATGTGCAATAATAAAGCCGAAATAGTCATCTGGAAGCCTATAAAAATAAAGGTTCTATAAGTTTAAATTTATTCGAGATAAATTGCATGTTAACACAAGTAGACCAATAAAAGCAAACCTTTGAAAGGTGGATGCGTTCCTTTTTCAAATAACGCCTTTGCAATTACCCCAAACACCAAGAATGCTATAATGACATATATTATTCTGGCAAGTGTAACTGGAGTAAACTTCGGAATAAAAAATTCAATCCACTCAATCAATCTAGGGAATAATTTTGTGCCGCCGCCAGTTTCCAATTTATATTTAGTTATCAAAATGGCAACGACAATTACCAATAATTGAGCAACCAGAATAACCATTCTTTGCGATGTTTTCTTCGCGCAACTTTCTTTTTTACGAGACTTGGACGATGTGTGTATTATTAGAAAAGTTTTTGCGGTCAATGATAATATGGTTGCAAAAAATAATACCCACATCGTATAAATATGAGATGTGTTTAGATAGAACCTTAGATCTATTTCTCCCGCATATTTTTGACCTTTGCATAACGTGAGTGAGAGGTAAAAAAAACTAGTGATAAAAGTTTCATAAATGCACGATCAATACAACAAACCTGTCTGATTCCAACAACGAATAAGACGAATAAGCATCATCTGACCGATAGACACCAATGTTAATCTTGTATCAGGTAGATAATTATCCGATCTAAAACTAAATTACAAAATGAGTGAGACGAATAATGACTAAAAGGAATATATATATATAAAATAATCTTCTAATACCTATCGATCAAGAACACTAGCCATAGTGTTTGCGTCCAAAAATACCAAAATTGATGCTCCTCTTCTATATAACTGCTTGCAAATAAAGTGGCGCAAAATCCTAATGTGCCTAATAGAGCAAGCAATTCTATTCTTTCCCTCTTAATATTTTTAAGAAATTTTTGTTTGATATTTCGACCTTCCAGGACCACGATAAAGCTGACAGCAGAGAATCCCATAAAAAGTAGGCCCCAACACATCGATTCCACATCATAATCGCTCGAACTAGCAGAGAGTCGAGAGCTTGATTCTGAGATGAACTAAGTAAGGTTCATATTAAAATGAAAGAATTAGAATTATCCTTAAAAAATGTTATGTTTGTTAGGGTAAATCTTTATTTCCCACCATATTATTACCTTTTCGTAGAACGATGATGCATTTCTTATGTAATTCATATCGAATAAATCAAGCGCTTTCGCATGATAATAATATGCCATCCGATACGAACATTGAAGTCTAGCCTCATCCTCGCCATCATTAACATCACAATAATTCACACTTTGCAAATCGATGATTTCGGGATCACGATCAAAAGATTCCCATAGCGTCTGTAATACACCAGACAATTGATGCGCATTTAATTGCAATAACCGCAACTTTTCCAAAGCTAAGTTAAATCAGAATATTGGTTTTTAAATACCAATGACGATACAACAAACAGATAACAATGAATGATAAATTTAAAATAGATCTTACGATCAATGTCTGTTAAAATGTCTGGCATAACTTTACCCAAGTTATTCTTTGGTATCGGGATACCAAATGCAAGTGATAACGTTGGCACAAAATCTATTTGATCTACGACTTCGTAGAATTCAAAGGACTGAGCATCATGAATCACAGCCTTTTTCTCATGAACATGTTTTAGATGCTCAAATTTTGAGCTCATAAAAACAAAAGCCTACGAGTTAATAAGCATAAGAAGGGTAAATTATAACTCAACTCAATTAATAAAGAATATGCAACATTAAAAATGCTTACAGTTGACATTTCGCCAATAGATGAACCCCCGTGATTTCCAACCTATACTAGGTGAAGCAAAGAGCAAGTAAATAAGAGCATATAAATCAAATTTTTTCAACGGGTAGCATTAAACAAAAAACGTAGATCAACCTCATTCATTCCATGGTCACCACACAACACAAACAAGGTCGGTTTTGTATCTTTATTCTTTTCGATTCGAATCATATCCTGCTCAACTATGGTCTCAAAGATGGTTTTGACTACCGCATCCATTTCCTGCTGTTTTGGAAACATCAACGAACTTTAAGGGATGTGGTCAATGTGCTATGTCAATAGGAAAAATAATTAAACAGTAAAGAAAATAGAAAATGATATGAAAGTATTACCTATGTGGTCCACTTGAATGACCGACATGGTCTAAGCCAAGGTAATGAAATATCAAAACATCCCATTCTGGCAACGATAATTGAGGGATAACATTCCTCGTGACATTCGCATCAACTTCAACCGTATCCTATCAAACAAGGAATTCCGATTTGTAAGAACGAAGAAGAGTCGTCATTATGCGAATAAATACTCACGGAGGCAAAGAATGACGTGGTTCCATCAGTGACATTAAACATTCCGGGAAATAATTTTATCCATGTATCGTCTCCAAAAAATGAGATGGTCTTATTCCCTGCGTTCTTTAATTGCACTAACCAATTATCTTGGTATGCAAGAGACGACGAAGTGTCGGATTCCGCAATGTTAAGAACCGCATCCAAAAAATTTGGAACAGTTCCTGCAATCGAATATATCACGTTTAAATCGCATAGATGCATATAATCTTTAACAAGATGACACACATACCAGTAGTGAGTGCTTTTATTCGTGGTAATGTAACAGTTGGAGCCGAGGCAATTGCTGTATAAGGTATTGCACGGTGACTTTCTATGAGACTGAAGAAACTTTAGCCTGTGAATTACAACAAATCAACGGTAACCGCTTAGCCAATATAAATACTTTTTCACGAATTCCATGCCAGAGTTCTCGCCAAAAACAAAGTCACTAGATATTAATTGATTTGTAATATCTTTAGTCAGTTGCAAATTTGCATTCTAAGAAATCTAAACAAACCTTCTTAATGCATCAACAAGCATGAACACTAGTCTATCGAAAGATGGTTTGAGAGGTGAGGCTGTTTCTCCATTCGGATATTTCGGAAATTCCTCAATTTTTGCAATACCCGGAAGAATTGATTTGTAAGGGAAAAACCCCTTGGAAAACAGGCCAAGCCCAATAAACTGAACCCCAAGAAGAATTATTAGGACAGCCCAAGTTTTTCGGACGTAAATCATGATGCGATGCCAAAGATTTACAAAGAGTCGAGTTGATCATGCATTCCTTTTTATGCGAGTGATCGGTGTTACATGTACAGTACAACAATACGTTGATTTAAAACCACAGCATGTTCATTGTTTTAGTAGCAGTATGGAGGTTATACTTCTAAAGCTATAATGCTATCAAAGATAATTTGACTGGATTTACTAATGAACATAAACGGACCATTTGACTTTATAATTAGGAGTTGCATAAACCAGCGTCGACCATAAATGGAAATAAGAAACCTTTTGGCACTTTTTGTTTTCGAATTACATCCTGCAAAACGAACGAATTACTATCGTAGTATGACATAATTGCGTGCGTGCTTTATTAAAAAAACATGTCAAAACAAACTTAAAATCAGTAACCCTAGTATTCCCATGATATCCCAATTATCAAATATAAAACATGTCGCATTCATGATATTTGTAGGTACTGAAAAATTTTTTGCCTTACCTTTTGCATGTTAGAGTTGGCCGGCGATCACATAAAAGGTACTCGTATGACAAATTTTTATAATTTTATGATTTTCAATATTTATTCTTCGCGATTTCATAGGTGTCTATGTTGTACGGATCGTAGTTGCATCACGAGAAATTTAGATCGATATCCGATCGATTTCTGCACAAATAAATAAATATAGCCTGAATTTTCTAAATTCATATTACTAACAACAAAAATTTTTAATTGAATTAAATTAAATTCAAAAAATTTCGTTATTAAAATAACAGCAAAATTTATTAATTTAAACTATATTCAATTATAAGTTTTTTTTTGGATAGTTTGAGTTTTTTTTTTTTTTTTATCAATTCAATAAAATACAATAACTTTAAAACTTCTAGATAATAATTTATGCTTAATTATAAAAAAAATATTATAAAACAATATATATAAAATAATTCAAAAACTCTTTTCACTGATTCTTTAATCAACTATAAAAAATATGTTTACAAGAAGTTTTTTCACTTCTTAGTTAATAAAGTTTTAACACTTCCATTAAAACAACCTGAAATATGACTTTAAGAGTTATTTTATTTTTCTCTTCTTATTTATAAATCACTTCACTCAAAAATTTGACTTCTTATACCTAAATATGGATCCTTAAAAAGGAGACAAAAAAAAAAAGTTAAATGTTTATCACTAAAAAACATTAAAATTTTTAAATTAATAATTATTAAAAAACTATTCAAAATAGTTTTCTATTATTAAAACTTTTGATTTACAATATTTCCTAAATTTTATTCATATTAAAATAAAGAGTTATGAATTTTATTTTTCAAAAAAAGACATAAATAATCTATAAGATTTTTAAGCTAAATACTTTATGAATCCATTATTACTTGTAATAAAAAAAATTAAATAACATCTTTGATATCATTAACAAAAAAGTTTCAAAAGAAAAAAAAACTAACTATAAAGTATATGAAAATTTTTTAACCTTTCAAATAAGAAGTTTTAAAGATTTATAACAAAAAGATATATATTTTTTTTTTCTAATTGTCTTGACTCTCTTAATACATTTATTTTCATAATTTTTTTAAAAATTTTGTTTATCTCAATTTAATCATGAATTTTAAGTAAACAAATTCTTATTAAAAATAATTGATTTATATGAAGTATATTAGTTTATAAAATATAAATAAATTTCTATAGATTATATACTACATATTATAATAATATCAGTAGTGATTAAAAGGAAGTTTTAGAAATTGACCTGTGGATCTATAGCACAGTAGTAGTGTTTGCGTCCAAAAATACCAAAATTGATGCT